CTAGTTCGTGTCAACTGAATCTGTAAATTTTCCGCTAAAATTATTCATTTATGGTTTCTTTGTGTCAGTGTTAACATTATTATTATTGCGTCATTATACATGTATTATGTTAACCAAATCGATGTGTGTGTGAATAAGTTTTGCTGCATTGTGGCTGATTCTAACAATGTAATCAATTATTGATTGCACAATATTGCGTCACTTAACACAATATACTCGTACGTTTGGTGTAGCAGAGCATAATCAGTACGCCATCGTTAATTAGTGTATTAAGTCTATTTTAGAGTATCTATAATAGATAGAATTTGATCTGCAATTTTACGCGTTGCGTAACACGGCAAACGTTTTCGGCAACAAAATTACATCATTTATCTTTGTTTTTTTTATTATTTTTCAAAAAAACATCACGTGTGATCCCACCCCATGTCATTTTAGAATTAATTACAATAAACGCTTCGATTTTGGGATGAGGCGCTCCTCAAATATCGAATGAATATATAGATTGTGTTATACGATACGTTGTAAATGCGACTAATCTCAAATCATAATAAGCGCGTCCCCATTGCATACTCAATGCAACAGCAACAATGCATACACTGTCAAATATATAATTTAATTGGCTATTACAAGAATACGCGTCGTACAAGAATAAATCGTGATACATATGACAACGATAATTCAGTCAAGCTAAACATCAGCAAGGTGAACATTTGGTATACTTTTTATCTTGGAAAATTGAACGTTTTTTTTCTGCTACTTACAATGAATATAGGTTTATTGTAATAATTAAAATTTAAATTTTATTCGTAATTATAAATTACAGATTAATTATAGAATGATATATGTTAATGTGTAATCTGTAATTATAAATTATGTAGATTACGAATATGTAAATCTATAATTACGAATTACGAATTATTAGCTGAGAGAAACGGTAATTATTTATGAAACAATTTGAATCAACCGTTGCCACACGAGTGTACAATTTTTTTAAATTAAAAAGCCAGATTGCAATCTCTATTATATCGAGATTCCAAAAATGAATATGCCAATCCTACAGATTACGTCCCCCAATGCATATATATATCTCATGTTCTGTGCGCATTGGGGTATTATTATATCATGTTCCGGATTCTTTAAATCTCGCCGTTATTATTCGAATTTAAGCTTTCCTATTCTATTCTATAAACGATATCGCTTAAATCTCTACTTTTCTCTCTCTCTCTCTCTCTCATTCTCCTTCCCTTTCTTCCTTTTAACTTCCATCTTCTTCATTCTCACTTGTGCGGTTCACTTCCAGGGTAAACATTTGTACAACTTTCACCTCGCTTCACATTCGCTCGCGTCTTGCCGTGAATAGTTCAAAGGTAAACGCGCATAATTGTTTACTTGCACCCTCGCCAAGAATTTAAGGTCTTCTGCTCGTCAATTTTCCTAATTAGCGCTAATTATCCCAGCGCACGCGTGCGGAAAGTTGCGAGTGGGATCAATTTTGCGCGCATGAGCTTATTCGCAGGAGCTGTAACATAACAACGATGCAAAATCATATGGATTATGTAAAACTATCATTATAAACAATGTAAAACTAAACTCTTTCAATAAGCAACTTTTTTTGGATCAAGATTCACTTGATCTTTCGACTTGACTAAAATTTTTAATAACAAAATTACATATTATCAGCTATTGTCATTGGCTATTTTCGGCAAACGAAACGGTATTGTATTAACCTGCTATGGTAACGATTTATTGATGTGAAATGGCGTTGATAACCGCAAAGCGCAAGACAGAATTAAATATATCGAGAACACGGTGTAATCGAAAACCTCAATGATTTAATTGAACTGAACCAAAATCAACTGCTCTTTCTGTTATTTGAATATTCTGATCTAAAAGGGATTTTTGAAACTCGATATTCACTGAATTTTCTAATGCTGTTAAAGTAATTCAATGAATCAGTGAAAATTATTCAAAATTTCGCAATAAGATATTTATGAATCATTTTTTGCTAATTGCCGAATTTTAAAGACAGTTCGTGTCAATATTTTATTCCAATGTCTTCCGCGTATAGTTTCTATGGATATGTAAAGATCTGAGGAAGTTGAAACCACTTGGAAATCCGCAAGAGAGGAAATTATCGGGACGTCCAAACTTCGACGGTCCGCAGGATAAAATTATGCGACAGTCACAGCTTTTGCAGCTTTTGTTTCGTTTCTTACATAAATTATGAATAATCCCCTAAGTTCCTTCATCGCAGAACTTATGTCACCGGGAGTTGATTTTAATATATTAATGATAGCTATAATCAGCCTACGATAATAATAATTTTAGACACAAATGCATTAAAGATATAAAAGTAAATCAAACATCTATAAAATATTAACAAAAACAGATAATTTGACCAATACTAATCGTCAATTATAATATAAATTTGTAGTCCTTTATATATAAACATTACATCGATTAATAAGTCAATAATAAATTGTAATTATAAAATTATACTAAATTATAGAAAAATAGTTACGGAAAATTGAGGTTTTCTTTCAAAGAATATTATATACCACCACACACATATTTTTTAGATAAATAAAAGAAAAATTCTACATCACAGACGAATAAAATGAATTTCTATCAATTCTATTTTATTATGAGTTGCGCGAAAAAGTTATATATAGTATTGCCAGTTACAACCGAAATGAAATAAAAATAAACTTTGATTAACAGACATTTCCAAAAAACTGTTTTCTACAATTAATTTTATAAAATTTAATAAAATGTAAGTTACGATAAATATCTGCGTAAAATAAAATTCTATTGTAAAATAATTATTTAAAAAAGAGGGAAAATAAATTTTTTCTACATAGTTTCCAACTCACAGTTCAATATGACTTTACTTTGAGAAAATATGTCTTCATGATTATTTGCGTAAGAAATACCTAAGAACAATTAACGTTTCAAATAGTGGGCATACCTTTGGGTTGGCTCGTGCCGTAAATAACAGGCGACGTGGCAGCTAAATTCTAGTCCGGCCCAACTAGAACGTAATTATTAAATCCGCCGCGAGAATCATTGCCAAGTGCCGAGCTGATTGGGATTATCGCACGCCACAAATTTAAATAACCCTAATTTCTTCGATAATAAAGCAACAAACGGTAACGCTATCTTGTGATATTTTTCATTTTTCAGTAATCAGAAATAGTTAATTTATTTTATATACTCAAATCTCTCGAAATTAATCAATATCTGACGACTTTTACCATTTAATTCTAAAGAATGTTTATGACATTTTGTCATCAAAGTAATCAGCTGATAAAGTTTACGATAGTAACGCTTAGCCCGACATTTTAGGAACGTCCGACATAGATTTAATCGCGGCCGGCGTTACCGGGCTCACTTCCGCGTCGTAAAATCGGAAGCGAAACGACAATTCTTCGTCGATTAAATTCACCGACGCGTCGATTACTAATTTTGACGTGCAAGCCAATATCTGCCCCAACCTCTGGGGCTATCCCGCCGTATAACTGTCGATATTTATGGAGAGAACAACTCTTTAATAAATACACATATACCGGCGTCGTGCCGGTGTCAATCGCCGTCCCGATACACCTGCGAAATCGATAATCGTTTCTCGTTTATCGGTGATGCGAGTTTTTTGATGATCCTCCCCTCCCCCCTGCCCCTGCCCCCCGCCCCGATAAACTTTTCCGTCGCAAGCAATCAAAGTTACAAATTGGATTCGTGCGACGAGCGACAGCGGAGGGCGAAGATATGCGCGATGTGTTGCAAAAATAACGTGGGGATTACATTGAAGACATCGGCGCCGGAAGGATCCGCGCACGATCGTGCCGCAACGATGCGTGATAATTATTCCGTCGATTATTATTACCGATAAATGTCGATTCAATATTATTTAATGCTTTAAGTAATATATTGGATTATGCGCAATGGCTTTACCACTTCGGCTTAACCATTGACTCAGTTTCCTTTAAATTGAATTCGATACGGTTATATTCGTCTCGAGCATTGCGACGAAGACGGTATATGGCGCGTATGTGCACATATCATTAAACGTATTAATAGGTTATATGTTCGACATGGATATATGCCATGTACACATATTAGACGTTGCGAGAGATTATATACTACGTATTTTAGTTATTTAAGGCAAATTCCGTAAAATACGTGCAGATTTGCCCTAAATTCGCCGGTTGATGTACTGTACTGCATATACCCAAATGATTGATATAAACTTCAGTAAAAAGTACCAGATATAAAGCAAAATAAAACAAATGATAACAAATAGTAATGACAAGGATGATTACAATACACGCGGATGTGTAGATATAGCTTTCTAGCATCAAAGGGACATTCGCAATCGCTAATTGGCGCGTCGTGGATTAATTAACGCCTCGCAATCCCATTGTGCAACAGTTCGTTTTCTACTTTCGCGAAATAACGCGTAAAACTAACGAGATCGTTAGTGGCAACCGTCCATTTTTGCGGAATTAATCGATGCCTGTGCCGATTGATTGAATTAATCCATCATCCTTTCTTTTTCTCATTTCTTCAGTCCTCTTCTTAAAAAAAAAATAACACGACATTAATGTGGAAATTGAATAGACCTATGTGTATTAAATAGATTAAACAAATATGAAGCGCTTCTAAATAACGAGGATTTATATCGCATCTTAATTCGTTTGAGATTCTATTTTAGATATCCGTGAGATTAACTTTTATCTTCTGTACTTTTCTTTTTCATCGGAATATAGTATGAAAGTTATTTCATATATTATATTCCAATCTCGGTCTCGGATCAATTTTTTTTTAGATGTATGTGTATTTATTATAAATTAAAAACTTTTTGGTTAATTTTTGGAATAATATTTTATGTATAGGTATTTTATAGCTATACAGCGTTTCGATGCTTTTTTTATGTCTTTTATTTCATTACTGTTTAAGATAGAAGAGAACTGGTGTTCTAATGTTTTTTTCTCTGTTTTCAGGCGATGAAGATGAGCAAAGTGGGCAACCAGACTAATTCGCAGGACCCACAGGCGGTGAATTCACGCGTTTTCGTCGGGAACCTAAATACATTTCAATGTAGCAAGACCGATGTGGAACGAATGTTCCAACGCTACGGCCGCTTGGCCGGTAAGTATATTAACAAAAAATTGTAATTTATAAAAATTAAGTCACTGATTGTGAGATAAAGTCATTAAAAAATAAATGATTAAAAGCTCGGCGTACAAATCTTTATAAAATACGCATATGCTTCCAATTAGATATACTGAAAAATAGAATGATAGAAAGCAGATTATATAAAAACATAGCTAAAAATGTTAAAAAAATGTATCTGTCAAAAATCTCCTGGAAAACATGCTTAATAATAGATTGTAGAAAATAAAAAGCTTAAAATATTTTGTTTAAAAACGAGGAATTTAAAAATCGGCAGATAATTTACATGCGATTTATGTTTTATTATTTTAAACAAAACTCGTTTTTGCACCGCTGCACGCTGTCGTGTTTCTGAAAGCGATGTTACAGACATAAACAAAAAAAAAGGTTTGATTTTTATTTAAGCTATTAAAATTCATTTTTTTTGCATGCGTTTAAAATCAAATGTGTCTCCGTATAAATGGCAAATTTATATCTAGATCGGCAGGCTACCCGATTTCATTTATCTTCCCTCGTATCTTAATTCGTTTCAATTATACCTCGTGGAAATATTTAGCAGCCTGGCCGATTCCATCGGGATAATTTCTTCGCAATCCTTTCGCACTACGCGCGCGAAACGTTAATCCCGCGAACTACGTACTTTATTTCCTGAATTTAAAAAAGGCCGCGATATTAATAAAAGTAAGGTAGCGACGTTAAAGAAAGATGAAAATCGATTATCGTGCGAAAAGGGTGAATCATTTGGTTATTTCCGAATGTTGTTCTCAATTCCTTCCCGAGAGGCATTCCCGATAAATCGAATCGCGTGAGAAATCGGCGGCCTGATAACATTCGATAATTCGCGATCGAATAACTTATTATCCGGCGCGGAAAAATTGCATCGGGAAGAATAGCGGAAGGGGCAGCGTAGGGGGGGCCCCGGGAAAATGGGATCCCGGTAACGCAATTTGTGCCACGGCGACTTGACCTTCGATAGCTCGAATTGGATATCCGTCGGTCTCCAGTTTCAGGAGGAGCAGCACGATGACTGCCGCTACCTTCTCTTCCTTTGTAAGCCCGTAACCTCGTTTACTTCGCAATCGCAGGATTTGTTATCCCGGAAAATCATTTTTCCGCGGGGTCTTGCCCCTCCTCGGGAACGAAATTACGATTGCGATCTGGAGTGATAGATAGACGGACGATGATAAGTCGAGAATGACCATGTGAGGTCGACCATGATAGATCGACAATCGAGATAATATCAAATCTTTCGCTCTTTTTATTGAATTTATTGTAAACTGTTTACTACAATTCAAGATATACTTATATATGTATAAGAAATCCCACGATTTTGATTTTAATAACAGATTTACAAAATCGAATCAATTTTTCCAAAATATTCAATATTGTACATCTGTGTAAACTTCAAATAAAAATTTTATTAAGATAGAGACTAATTTATCTCTCTGAGAAATTATTGAAGAATACAATTCTTTGCTCGCTCTAACTCTAACTTGCACTACTTGCGTATATGAAATAAGTACAAAATATAAAAAGGATGAATATAGAGTGTAATAAATAATGTAACAAACAGCATCAACAAAATAAGCTTATATAATAAGAATGAAGAATGCTGTGGAAAATTAGCTTCGTGCCGACGTAGGTGATATTGGCATCCCAAACGCCGACGCCCGATATCGCTGGGAAGCTATCGTGCTCCAGCTCTGTCCGGCAAAATCGCAATTTCAAATGTCGGATGTCAAAATTACAAGGAGTGCTGCTAGCTGCCGATAAACAGCTTACTTTCTCAATAAAGGACGAAGACAATAAGGGCAACTTCGTCCTTGCAGGAATTAAGGCGCTCGCCGGATTAGAGGGACGCCGATACGAAGGATAAGCCGCGTCCTGTACGGAGGCGAACGCCGCGTGCAATGCGCGATAGCAGATAAATTACAAATTCTACGAATCAAATATCTCTTCTACAAACAACGTTTAACGCGAAAATGTATACAATCTCCGGCTTTCTGGAGAATGGCTTCCGTTTGAAATCCGGTTTAAAAACGAAATCCTCGACGAAGACCGCTCTAATTTTTCCTTTTAAACTTTACATCTTCCTTACAAAAACAAAACAACGAGAGATTATTAATTGTGCGTAGAATTTACTTAAGAAATGCTTTAATAATAAAGAAATAATAACTATTATAATAAAAACTATAAGTCTTAATGGATCAATCTGAAAGAGTGACGAATGTTTCAACATATGTAAATACTGATAATTTTGTAAGTGATCAAGTTTAAATATTTCGTCAAAATAAAAGAGATAAACCAATTTCTTTAATTAAAAATTAAAAATTAATTTTTTTAAATGCATTTCATTTTAATGAACTTTGGACATATGATTTAATGTTGTGAAGATATTTAATATCGAAAAAGGAAAAATTGTAAAAAGCACTCAATTTTTTTGTTATGGAAAATTAAATTTTTAGTTATCCAAAGAACGAAGAGAATGGCAATATTTTTTGAACATACTATATACAACTGTATTGGAAGAAATCGTCACTAGAATGATTTAAATCTGTACTATCGAATGCCCAGATAACAACACTAGAGAGTCTCTCTGCCGACAAGTTTTCCAATATAAAGTCGATATTTGTTCTATATAAATGCCAAAACATTGGAAAAATTCACTGCAACAGGCCCTCAGCACAGTACTGTTGTTATCGAGGCACTTGGCCGTCACTTTGGTGAGTGACGACTTTTATAAAACACATAGTTACGAAAAATACAAATAATTGTTACAAAGAGTGGACTTGTCTATTTTTGTGGAGATATTTCAATCGAATCAAACTTTGATTTCCATTTTTTCCATTTCAATATTTTATCTTTCTCACAATTAAATTTATTCGGTATTTTATTTGGAACTAAAGGTGAGTAAATAAATTACATATGTGACTTTTTGATTAGTTAAGAGTTTATTAAAAAGTTGTAACTTTCAGAGTTATTAATAGTAGCTTCTGTGAAAAATTTTGCATTTTATCTTACTTTAACGAAAATTTAAATAAGGTTCGTCCGTTGATATACATGTCTCTTTTAGAAATTTATTAAATTCTATATTCCTCATAACTATTTATTTGTTTCTTACTATTCATAAGTAATTATTTGTGTAACTATTAAACATTTTTATATTTAATATTCTCTTTTAATTTTTTAATGATTTAAAGTTTTGAAAATAATACATATATCGAATGGGTTAAAAATAAGAGTTCCAATCTGCTTTAATTTGATTTGTAGTGGCATCTACATGATGCGGTACATTCGATACAATCAGAGATCAAATAAAATGAATATTTAATATCGGAACTTTATTTGAAATCCCTTTTTAGAGCTTGACCCCGATATTCTATAATGATTTTGTTTTTTATTCTACATCAGATCTTGTAATAGCATTAAAATCTAATTACGAATAGCAATTTTGAATCAAACTTGTTTGCAGTCGAATGAAATCCTGCAAGCCTCTCTGCAAAATCACGCGGCCGATTACATTATCATTAGCGCCTAGAAACGTCTAAAATGACCGATATCTCAAATAGTTCCGTAATGATTTTCTGATGCGCGCTCTTGTCTGGATGCGCTTTCGATATCGAAATCAAATATTTTTGTTTAGCAAACGAATTCTTTGTCGAAACAGCTCTGATTTTTATTAGAGGCAAGAACCGTGTAAGAAAATAACATAAAATATTTGCGCGAGGATTGAAAGGACTCGAGTTTGACTGTCATTAGTCATTACGAATGCTATATTATGAAATGGATTAAAAAAAACTTACTTCAATTCATTCTATGACAAAGATAAGAGAAATGAATATGTAAGTATCTATCGGAATCAACTGAATGGAATAATTGCGTACATAGAGCTCTACCACGCCCGAAAATAGTATCCAGAACTCGGAAAAATAAAATAATGACAAGCGTATAGGAACGTCGTATCAACCGGCCCGCACCTCGCACATATACTTGCACTTACGATCGCGCATTTCGCTATCGCGGTTTTTATGGCCAGAATAAATTTCGTCGCGGAACGATCTCTTGAGCGCCGATATCGAACTCCCGCACCCGTCTCGCGTGCACAAATGCACACATAACACCTCCGCCGTCCCCTTACGTATGACATGCGCGCAGACAGCGATTTAAATTCCGGAATAAACGTTACGGCGATGACGAGTTACGTTACGGGGGGAGGATCGAAGATCGATACGATCGACACGACGATCTCCTTTCGACCGATACGCCGCCCTGAAAATGTGAGAGGTGGGATTAAGCTTTGAGATATGGGGATGATATAGTGCTTTATCGGAGAGTCGAGCTCCGAAGCGCTAAATGTTTTCGGGAGATCGACGGGATCGCTATGTAATACATGATAAATTTACCCTCGCTTGAAAAACGAGAAGATTCCGAAAATTAAAAATTCGAGCAGAAAAAATTAAGTCAAGTTGTGCGACCCGAATCGGTGATAGTAATGCGAAAACATATATACTTGTGTTTCTGTATGATGAAACATTTATTAAATTATTATATTTCAAACGCATACTTTTTTTAGACTAACGCGTATGTATATGGATTTTTTCAAGTTTTAAATAAAACTATCGACATTTTATATAATCGATAACAAAGAATTTAAAAGATTATATTATTACAACTATGTTAAATCGAAATTTTTATCAGATTTATATTTTTTTATTAATAATTTAATGATAGTTCAAAAATATCATAATAAATTAAAAATTAAAAAATCAGAAATATAAACATGCATTTTTAAGTTATAATTATATTTTATTTAACTGATTTTTCGTAGTAGCGCGAATACGAAAAATATGTGTATTTATATTTTAGTTTCTACGTTATACATTTTTTTTGCGCACGAATAAATAAAAACTGTCAAAATATGTTCAACATATATCAACACGTGTTAGTTGACTAACCATGTCAATTTTACGTAAATAACACTTGAACAGCATTTGGATGCTTTGGGTCATACTTGAAATAATAAAAAATTTAAGATTATTTTTGTGATATCCGGGAAATCGAATATTGACAGTTACAGTTTCAATTGGTACCGTTAAATTGGATTAGACATGCAGGATAAGTTACCGTTTTGGAATAACGTGATATTTTTAAAATTGACATGGCTGTTGAATAATTCTAAACTCTTATAAAATACAGAAAAATTTGCGATACAATACGTGAAAAGTAAATAATATTTTCAGCCACAAACTCTTTGGTCTAGATAAAATCATCTTTTCCTGAGAAGCTCAAGACACTAATAATACGGTAATCGATTGGTCTAAATCTTAAAAGTTGGTAAATATTTTCAACACCTTATTTGAGATTTGGAATAATCGTTCTAGTTTTTTCTCGGTGTTAGAATGCTGTGCAAAAAGAAAGAAGAAAAAGAGAAATAGACATGAATATTTTGCGAACAAGAGAGTAACATTATACATTTATTACTATTATTATTTCACGAGACGTGCACGTTAGTTTGTGATTCGATCTTTTTAAAATCGCTCTGTTCAACAACCGGTGTGTACTGAAGAATGAGCTGATAACAATAGCGACGATGAAAGCTATGAACATCTCTTGCGCCGGGCTTCGCGATGAAGCGGCGCAAGGGGGGTGCGAGGGGGAGGGGAGGGCAGATTCGCACGGACAGTATTTGCATTCTAGCGCGTACACGCGCGCGCGCGCGCGCGTGCACACACGTCTGTGTGAGTGCGAGTGTGCGTGTGGGTTAGATTTACATATTTGTTTCGGCATAATGAATTCCATGCATGGTCAGCTGCTAACCACGCAAAAGTTATTACGGGTACACAGATTACAGGTCGCGTCCGTGCGACTTGCCGCTCCGGCAAAATCGACCGGCAACAACGTGCTCTTGTTTTTATTAATTTGGTTTGCAAAAATGTTTAATATTCCCCGGAGTTGTATTTAATCGTTCGGAAATGTCGTTATTTAATTTGGAGATTTTTGCTCGCGGTGGAAGTTTATCCAATTAAAATTTCGCTCTATGTATTTGCGCGGATAGTTCTCTGGAGAAAGGGAGAGGAAAAAAAAGAGAGTTACTTGAGAAAGTTCGTAGTTATACAATTACGCGCGATACGCTCCGCCAATATATTACATATTTTTCAAATGTTCGCGAATATTCCTAGAAATCTCACGCAGTTCTCTTTCCTATTTAACTTTTTTTTTTATAAATTTCAATCATTTATTTTTCGCAGTTCTCTCATGTATAAAACATACACAGGATGGTTTATTTAAAAGGACTCACTCGATCGCTTCCATTACTGAAAGCTTTATGCCGGGTGTTTTTCAGATAGAATTTATTCTATTATAAAAAGCTATAAACTATATTTTGTAAAGATATTTTTTAAATTATTTTAAGGTCAAAAGATGTGAAAATGTTTAAATAAACCCATATGTTTTTTTATAACGTTAATGAAACTTTCCATGTTTTTCCGAAGTCGCTTATAACTTACAAACAAATAATTGTACTGGTTATTGTTACAAACCATGTGTTAAATTTTTAAAATATTGAATAAATAACATAAAATTTACGTTGAATAAAATAATAAAAATAATAGAAAACTCACGTGTATTAAAAATAACATATTTAGTTAAATACACTCACGTGTATTTTAAATAACATATTTAAAAACGGTTGAAAAAATTGACCTTCTTTTCATACGAATTTATTTATTTTATAAAGTTTGCAAGGTATAATTAACTTTTTACGTTCTTTCCAGGTATTTCTATGCACAAGGGTTATGCATTCGTGCAGTTCACAAATCCGTTTGACGCACGCAGTGCGTGTCTCGGTGAAGATGGTCGCACCGTCCTCAGCCAGATTCTCGGTGAGTAAACTCTTCTTTTGCTATATTATTTAGAGCGTCGTTTAAAGAGACGCAAAAGAAGGTTGGACGTGCCATATTCCTAAAGTAAATCAAGCCTCGTTGAAAAAAGCTTTACGATGCCTGCGACGCCGTAAAAGATTTTGGATGTTATTACGTATTCTATAATTATACCATATTTTTTATAATCGTATCGTGCATTTTACAACATTTATATCGTAAAGCAGAAGAGTATTTTTTTTACGTATAATGATACTTTTAGAAAAAAAAAGATTGTTTATTCATAGAAAATCTCTAAAGTGACAAGATTATAGACGATAAAAGCCTTTTTTTATCAACATATCGATACACATTGACACATTGTAAAGCAATAAAGAAACACAGGGATGGAAAAAAGGAGGGTTCGCATTAATATGCAACGACGCATAACCCCGTGCCGGCGATATAGGGTATCGCTTTGACATAATCATTTATTCAACACTTGGGAGAAAGTGTATCACTCTTAGCGTTTAGCGGTGCGAAATAGATACCGGGCATATTCTATAAGACATATTTATGACTAGCGCAAAAATATAAAAAGCATCGCAAGCCTGCATTAGATATTGGAAGTGTAATATCGAAAATATTGTAGAAACGTAAATTTTTCGGATAACACTCTATCATTTTTTTTTTCAACGAAATTATCTGCCCTAATTTACGAGAGGGATAAAAATGTTGCATTATTGTATATCGATATAATTAATATATATCGAAATAATTTCATAATTATGTATATTATCTACATATTAATCGAAATTTAGTTTACATAATTTTCCATTTGCAAGTATCTTTCAACTCGATAAAGCTAATTCGAAATGCAGCAGCTGTCGAACGCTAATAAGTTATAAAATTATTAGGAAGAATTATAGCCGCGACTTCGAGGATCTACGCTACGTCACAACAAAAGGAGATGCATCTTGCGGAACGATTTATAAACTCGCTCCATCGGACCGGAAAAGAGAGGTTTCCTTAGTGAAAAGTCACTCACACGGACGTAAATTACGGGAATCGCGTGTATTTCCCTTGCGTCTGACATCCTAATCCGGCATAGCTGACGTGGGTAAATGCCGGTCCTTAAGATATTAAATTAGAAACACCGCATTCGCATTAGGACGCGCGGAAACTGCGGAAACCCGGCTGTAGCCGGCCGTACGGATATATCCGATCGTTTGGTTATGACACACGGCTATAGACCGTCTTACAAAGGCAAGGGCTCCTGAATAAACCGTACGCGTGAAATAAACAAACGGCGACGATGGGATTGAAATCCGGGACTTAGCGCTGAGTGCAGCAGCACACGTGCGGCTACCATAAAGCACCGTAATCGGCCGAGCAGAACGGATCGCATCTCTATACCGAAGATGGGCAATACTACGTAATTAGCGCAAATCTTCGATAATAAAGATTAATTCCATAAAAAGTTCAATCTACTCAATCTATACCTATAGAGGAGAGGTGCGAATAGCATTCGTATGGCAAAGAAATTACTCCAATGATTTCCATTTAAACTATTAAATCTATTCGCATCTCTCCTTTAATCTGTTGATATTCTCGATATTGCATCGTGCTATCAAATTTGTAATTGGATAAACGTGTACGTAAGCAGGCGTGAAAATGTGTATAAAACTTCATTAGAATATATTTGTGGAAATTTTGGAAAATAATTTAGGATTAAGAATGAGAGGAGAGAGGAAAGATACAGATAAAGATTGTATTGGACGCGCGCGTATATCTTTCCTCTCTCCTCTCATTCCTATATCTCTCCTAAATTATTTTCCAAAATTTCCGCAAATATATTCTAATAAAGTTTTATACACATTTTCACACCTGCTTGTACGAATATTTTTATTTCGCACATCTTACTCTCAATTACACTTAATTTATTTTGCGACAGACGGATGTCATAGACGGATATCATAGACGGGGTTTAAAACGTGAATGGAGACTGTGCGATCCTTACGGAGCTTGTAGAGCTTCGAAATGTTCGTACGTTTATTTGTCATCTGTGAAAAACGTTCATGAGATTTTCGAACATGCTCATGGGACATGTGAGATTGTTGAGGCGTATCCTATACGTCCCTCGTATAATCCATGTCCTTCATGTCCTACATGCGCCACGTATGCTACCTCTCGAGTATCGAATGCGCGTATCAGCATCGAATTTTTCAGAGCACTCTTCCTACCCTCCGCGCCGATACAGCCTTTTTCGGCGCCGTCTCTCTCACACTAGCCACCTCCTTTATGCGAGTGTTTCCCTCACAGACATGTTGTGTTGGCAAACAACGCCCTTCAACCCGTTCTCCCGACCGAGCAAAACAGAGAGTTACCTTCCGCAATCTGTTAATTACACGCATGTGATGTGCAGAAATTAAATTAGACGAATACGTTACGTCGTATCTTACGCGGAATGAGAGAAACGCGGCCGTTTGAGAGGCGCACGAATTTCCGTAGAAAGTTTCGAGTTCTATAGAACCCTTCAAAAGTTAACAATTCTCTTTTAAATTTTTGCGAATTTCTACGGTTTGTAATTTACGTTCCCGGTTCGAACGCACGGCTCGGCTTACTCCCCCTCCCCCTCTGCTTTTGCCCAAATATTTCTCACCGTTTCCGCATTATACAGCGCGCAGGAGCTGTCCACCCTCCTATTTCTAACCCACTCCCCCCTCCCCCCCGCCCGCTCCTCCCTGCGGCAAGTCGCACTTGTAAATGCACGCCATCGCGTCCGCGCGCTCGCGCCCGCCCGCGTGTGTACGTGCTTGTCCGCCCCGGAGGTAGGCGAAGCATCGGGCGAACCGCCGGAAACACAGTTCTTGCATTAGCCGAAGAAAGATTTCTGGGGTAATCGTGGCGGAGAAACTGCCATCCCGAGAGAAAGAGGGAGAGAGAGAGCAAGGGGAGGAGAAGGGAGAGAGAGAGAAAGAGAAAACGAAGAAAGAAAGGACGCGCACGCGCGCTTGTCGTTCTTATTGGCGCGGGTTAGACGAACGAGGGCGAGGAGGGGGAGGGAGGATGGCAGACGGGAGGGTGGTTAGCGACGGCTAATTCCATTGGGTGTGCGAACGAACAGAGTAAAAGAGTTCCCACGCGATAAGCTTTAACCCTTTGACGCTGCTTGTATCTCCCAAAAAGCGAATCGATCTTTTCTACCGGGTGACGCGAAAAAGACGAAAAACGCCCAACGATACCCTCGAGTGCTCGGAAAAAAACATCCCCGAGAGAGTTGAACGTAAGCGAGCCTCTCGATTTCGGGTAATTTACTACTTTGCCACTACACGTATCTCCGGAGACAACAAATAAACGAAATTAACGAAATGATATTGTCTTATATAAGTTATATTATTAAAAACTAAAAGATTCTCAACGCGGATTTTACCATGCAGCAAACTTTTACATTCTCCTCTTTGTTTTATGTGATGCGCATCTCTTTCTGTATTTCATATTTTTCACAACATGTATAGCTTAACTTTCGCGAATGTCCGCGTATTCGTAGATTTGTGCAAAAGTGCATTCAATTTTTTTTTAATTCCACAGAAGTTGTGGAAAACTCAGATTAATATTAATTGTGATATTCACTTCGCGAACGTCATCAACGTTTAACGTCGACCATCCGGAAGACGAGGGTCACATGACGAGAGTAATGCACGGCATATGCAAATACCGTGTGGACGATGATTTATTATACTAATCTCGTTACGAATTAATGTGCTGATTTATGATGGCGCGGTCCTTTTTCACTCTTCGCAAGGTGTCCCGAGGCCGCATGAAAACGCGGCATAAGTCATCCCCGTCGCACGGATTTTTTCAAAGCCCGACCGCCCCCTGCTACGCCCCCAAAATATCCGTAAATCTAACACATTCGTATTATTAAAATCTCCAGGAAATTCCTATATTTTTTCGCAATTTCTTGTTGCGGCATCAGCGGCCCTTAATTAAGCGGTTGTAAAGCAAAAATAGCGTGATGAATTGAAGAGGCTTGCTGCAACAGTGGGCAAACCCATATTTTACATTTTATAAAAATGTAGGAAATGAACTCTAAAATTCATCACTCTAACTTGAGTTTATTTTCTCCGTTGTTACAAAACGTGGCATGTTAGTCCACACAGTTACAGCCAAGCCCTTCAATTACAATTATAACATTTTATTTGGTACTTAAAAAAAATCTCTGCGCGGTACTTTATTTTTAAATAAAAGCTGAGCGGGCTCAGAATTTATTAATTTAACATTTTCCACGGAATATTATTAAATTCTCACTAATAATTGATTCTACGTCCCTCAAGGAAGTTGATCGCGATTCGCGTTTAAGAGGGCAACGTAAACTTACGGCTGTAAACTCGTAGTAGAATGCTGAAACCTTATTTGTAATTTTATTATAAGTTTTGAGAGAATTTTATTATAAGTGCGTGTAGCGTATAGCGGTTTATCAGCGCGAAATTATACTACATAAAGGAATATATGTATACACAATAATTCGGCGAGTACCTCGCAATAACCTGGATGCATTTGCGAACGGGTTTGCAAATTGCACATGTAAATTGGTACTTTTCCATTATTTCGAATTTTCCTGAACGCGCACAGCCCGAATATTTGTTCTCGCTCTGTATGTCAGAATTTCATTACAACTCCGTACGGCGTACAGTGTCCTTTCAAAGATACGAACAGTAGAAACATAAAAGAAGGATAAGGGCGGGGAGGGGGAGCATCGGATAAGGTTGATAATGCTGGACGTTGTAATTTTTGTTCTTCCGTTGCTGAAATCCGATATGAAACTGAAGCAACTACCGTCTTCTTCGGTTCGAAATGTAGCTACTCTATTTTTACTTCTGTTTCTATTTCGTTAATGGGTCGCCTCCATATATATATTTTTTCGAAGTTGAATTATAAACGTTTAGTTACATAAGTGCATTAAGATATTATTTTCAACGTGAAAGCATTGTACACGTTGGAATTAGCTAGTAATATGATGT